TATTTTGGACCAGAGTAGTATATAATTATTATTGGAAGCATTTGGACAAAAGGTAGCTTTTTTTGGTCAAAGTTTGGGAAGATTCTGTATACATTTCAAAACCATTTTATATCCATTTTAAACTAAGACTTTCCTTCAAAATTATTAGTATACTCGAAGCATTACGTTTTGCGGACTTTGCCCAGTCGAAACTGGTTTTCGCGATTTCCCGCAGCGTCCTGGTATGGCGCTGAGTAGTGAGTGTTAACATCTGTAACTACTTTATGTCGACTGTGAAGAAGGTTATGCCGTGCATTATTCCATGATGGTGAATCTGGCCAAAGTCGCAGACACAAAAATAAAACCTTGCGTTTTAATTGGTGTATTTTCCTGTACGATCGGATTCGAAACATCGGATTGGCTGCCACCTACCCAAGATGTCGTTGGTACTTTCTGCGCGATTTCATTGGCTAAAATTCCGTGGAAACATTGAAACAGTTTATAAAATCACATGCAGCAGCAGGCTCAGGCGGCGACAGCGCTCCGATCGAGCCAGCACCGCGCGAGCTTACCGACTCCACCCGCTGAAGATGTAACTTCGACCACTCAAGGACCTCGATTCAAGTACGTGGTGCAAGAAGGAGATACGATCGCAGGCATAGCTCTACGGTACGCCCTGGAAGTTCGCGCAGCACGAACTCGTCCGTGTTGTTGATGTGTGTCTGTAGCCATGGCATGCGCGAGTACGACTTGCGCCATCTGAACCATTTGTTCGGCAGCAACATCTACAAAGGCCAAGAGCTCGTTCTGAGAGTCAAGATCCGCAGCAACAGTGTCCCGACTAGCACAATCCACGACAGCATCACTTCTGCGGCACCCACCTCCGCGGCAACTGCTCGACGGTACACGCCTCTACGCATCGAGATGCGTTCTAGACCGTCACTACGTTTTGCGTTCAGGCTAAATCAGGGTCGAAGCGGAGGAGGTATCAGCGAAGAGTCCCCATCGACGCCCACAATGTACACAGACTGCTGCCACCTTCGAGGCTATGACCACCTTTGATTGTATAGATCCCGCCAACCGTCCAGTAACCAGCAGGACGACGCATCCATCACGAGCAACAACAACAACAACACCCCCCCCATTCTCATGAAGGTCAAAGCCGTCCCCCCAGCCCAGCCAGAATCCCAACCCAAGCACTCCAAGCCACTCATGGAAGTTACGTCGATTCCGCAGCTACATAATGCAACCTCCATGGACATTTTACCAGACCCGGTGATCTTTAAATCTCTCGTGCCAAAGGTAGGACCATCCACCAATTGACTCTATTCTTTCCATTTACGACTTGTCGATAGTATAAAGTATCATATATATATATATCCATGTACGAATCTCAATATATATATATATATATGGGGTTCAACCCCCCCTCCATATTTATATGTTTTGACGACTTCGTATTTGCAACCCAAAATGGGAGTGTAGCTGGAAGCGTGTTTACCTCCGCAATACCGCGGCTACGATTGGGCGGTCGCGTACAGGTAGGAGGCAGTTGTGTACCGTACAGTACTCTCGTTCCCCCCCTCACTGACCTCATTCGTGTCGACAGTTTGGCGCAACATGGCGCGAGCCTCGACACACTGTACCGTAAAGTGTACCATCGCCGGGCGTCGTTGGTGGTGGTGGAGACGGGGGACGGCGACATCTTTGGCGCGTTCGCGGCGTCGCCATGGGCCGTGTCCAACTCGTTTTACGGCACGGGCGAGTGCTTTGTGTTCACGTGCTACCCCAAGTTCGAGCACTTTCCATGGAAGGGCCACAACGCCATGTTCATGTTCAGCAACGACAGCATGCTGGCCATGGGCGGCGGCGGCGGCTTTGCGTTTGGTCTGAATGCCGACCTGTCTCGGGGCACAAGCGCTCGCTGCTTGACGTTTGAAAACAGGTACTTGTCTGTCTTGTACACAAAATTTGGACTTTTGTGCTGATTCTTTGCCAAATCTATCGATCGATCTGACTTTTGTATATCAAGATCGTCCAGTATCACACTAATTTCATTCACACACTAATTTCATTAACACACTAATTTCATTCACACACGAATTCGATGTTGCGTTGGTCGAAGAGTGGATCATTTGATTGGCTACTTGATTAGTGTTCGGGGATATGATTGGTTGATCGGTTGTCTGTCGATTTCGACTCGACTTTACAATGCTTTACTGTACATGATTCGTTTGTGCGATCTTCGCGTACGATGTGGTTTACTCACTCCTTTTGGATGTGTCATGATTGCATTTATTTTTAAAAAATATTCTTTGTTTTTATACGTTCTTCAATTGAAATAATATATATATAGTATTTAGATGAAATAATCTATTTCGAATGTGGGAGTAGATGCCTCACCAAGCGCAGTGAATTCGACGTGGTCAACTGCGAAGTGTGGGAATTCGTGCCAAAGGTCTAAAACAATCGCCACGAACGACACGTGTGTGGCAAAATAGTATTATTTTTTCATATTTCATGGATATATATATTTATGGTTGCAACACTGTCAACGCGTGTCATGGTTGGGCTCTTGCAGCGCCTGGACGAGTACGGCAAGCTTGTGCATGCTGTGGGCTTTGACTTCGTTGTCCAGGTCACGGTCTTGAAACCAGGTCTGGTTGATGGCATGGAGGGTCGGGAGCAGCGCGGGCTCGTACACGTGGCGGCACGACGGCAGTTGGAACGCCACCAGGTCGATCGCATCTCCTTGTTGGCGCACATTCAAATTCTAAGTAAATGAAAGGTCAAAGTGCACCCTTTCACATCAACCACATACAGGAGTTTGCACAAACGACTTTGTCGCTTCGCAAAACGCGGGCGATGTGAACGCATGATGCAGAGCGTGCAACGGATGCTGCCCATCCTCAGACGCGGCGGTCCGCGCTTCCAAGACCAAATGCAGCGCCAGTTGAAGCGCCTACCACGACGACTTTGAGTATAGAGGGAATGATGTGGAATGATGGGGGGGGGGGTACTTTGTGTCGAAGGGTCGCCGGGCGCCGAGCATCTTGCATGATGTTGGCCAGAATATGAACGCCGTCGTTGCGTAGCAACAGCGCTTGCGCCTTGTCGTTGGCTTGGGTTAGGGCCGACAGCGCGTACAGCATCTTCCTTTGCATGGCGTACACTGTATCGGCTTGGTCTTCTTCGTGAGGGTCCACGACGAGGGAGTGCAGCACATTCGGCATCGCGCCAGCTTGCAACGCCCATGTCTGGGCTTGTTCGTAGTGCTTCACGGCACTCCCCACCACCCACGCCGCTACTCAAACGTTTTACATGTCAGCGCTGCTAAATTACAACTATAGGATATATCCAGTTCCGGATATAATATATATATATATATATATATATATCAGGCACTGGATCACGAGGACGTACCCATGCTGCGCACTTTGTAGCTTGAGGCGTTGAGGTGGTGCACCGTGGCTTCTAGTCCCCCGAGGGTGTTGAAGTCTTTGGCCTTGTCCAGGTCTTGCACTTCCCACTCCAGCTTTTCCAGCGCATCGATGACATTGGCTTCATGCACGTCGACGTCCCCCGTCGTGGGCGTCACGAGCGTGTCAATCAGTTCTTGCATGTACTTGACCTCGTCGCGGATCTGCGCCGACGCTTCCTTGAGTTCTGCCTGCCGCGCCTTCCACACCTTGGCAATGAACGCGGAAAACTGCTCTTTGGTCAGCTTCCCATACGCTTCGTGGATGTTCATGCCGTCCAGCTGGGGCGGTTCGGGCAGTTGAGCCAGCACGTTGTACAGGGATTCGCCAATCACGTGGCCGCTGGCGTCGCGGACAGCGCCGTTCGATGAAGCTTCGTCATGTTCGTCGTTGTTGTCGGTGGAAATGGAGGTTTCCGTGTGGTAGATGTCGGTGGTGGTGATGCCTGTGTGGCGCCGAGGTGGCCCTGCGGCTTTGTCCTGGTTGGCGTCGTCCTCCAACAGTTTGGCCTCCTTCAAGCCGGTCTGCAAATTCACGCGCACATGCAGGCCCTACCAAGGAATCGTCAGCATCTCGTGCTTTGTGAAAGTGTCATGTACCCCTGGGATGTGTTCGTGTGCTTGGATCTCTTTCCATTCGTGGGTAGGCTCAAAGATAGCAGTCTTTGCCACGTCATCGGCTTTTCCAGTTTGGCTCGCGTCGCAGGTCGCTCCTCCATCCGCGGAACAAGAGTCCGTGTGGACAGGAACTAGCGCCACGGCGTGGTTATCGGCATGGACATGCATTGCCAGCAGGCTCAAGCCTGCCAGGCACAGCAGCAGCAGCATCTTTGACGGCATACACGTCATCATGACTACACTACAAACGCGCAATGATAAATGAATGACACGGATAGCACCGTTGGAAGTTGGCTCCCGGCTGGCCAATCACAAATCCCAAAAATGAACAAAACAGGTTCGAGAAAAAGTATATACATTACTCAAGTACATGCGATGGGATTGCTTTTAAATTTTTCCACGTGACCACGTGGCTGAAAAGCGAAAGGTCACAATCTGTGATGACGATCTTGCATGCGAAGGGCAGTGACGTGGCAGGGCACTGCACAGCACTACCATCGATAGATGCAAATAGTTACGGCGGTACTACTGCACTGGGAAGGCACTTTGAAGGTTTCGTTCAGTGGCTCAGCATTTTGGATTGGTCTCGCTAAACTCATGGGTGAGCTACACTTCAGAGGCCACGGACATGTCGATGTTAGGAGATTACACATCAGTCATTGATGAAGTCAAGGAGCTAGCCATTTACGAGTAGCGATCTCATGAATGCGCATTAGAAATCAATAGTTGGGCTTTCATGCCGTCGTCGGTGTCTTCAACCGACTACTTTAGCCATGGGACAGTATTGTAAGCTAGCTAGGCCACGAGGAGATCGTTTGGGAGGTCGACTTCCATGGCTTCGGCGGCGGTTTTCGCGGCTTTGGTTTCGGCGGCGGTGGCTGTCAGGAGGCGTTGGTAGTGGAGCTTGGTGCATGCGGAGTTCCGGGGTTTCGGGGTCGTAGGCATACATACCATTGCTAGAGGTAGGTAGCAAATTCGCATACTGTAAGTACATGTACCAGTGTAGTATTAGGCTACATTGCGTTGTGGATAGTTCGCTTCATAGAATGCGCACACAGCATAACATACATGTTCCTATGAGACTGTTCACTAACGTTATGCATAAAGCACTCCATCTGAAAGACGACGAGAAGGGACGACGATATGAATGAATTAAGGTCAAAACAACTACGCTTCATCAAGCTCGCGCAGGTTGCGGTAAGTGGTGCCGCCTTCAGGGAGTGATGGCTTCTTGGTGGCAATGCCGTACACAATCACGGCGAGCCCGTATACAATCGTGATAATCGCGACGACCAGGCCGTAAACGTTGTCCAGCATCAACGTGAGGAACCCGAGGAAGAAGAGGAAGAAGCCGCTGCCGATGAAGTTGCCGATCAAGCCGAACCACTCGAGGGGTTGCTTGGATCCGAACGCCGTGGCCGCGAACAATGCGTACGAGAGCATGATGTGATACAGGTGCAACACGATGCGGGAGATCGTGGACCGCGCGATGCCGGCATTGCTAATGCTGTACTCATCGTTGACAAGGAGCCAGACTGCGGCGATGGAGTTTAGGATGGCAAACACGCAGAGAAGAATCTGGTTGACCTTCTTGTCCGAGATTTTGGGCTTGCAGCAGCAGCACTTCATGGCGATAGAGTTGGCAAGCACACAGTCAATTCAGAAATGTCGAATCTTGAGGTTCAAGATTTGTGGTCGATGGGTTTGCCCCAAAGTCGTGGTAGGTGTATTTGTAAGCCTATCATACAGCTTTCATAGTCTAATATCAACCAATCCAGGCGTTTAACGCAAGTGAAATGTGAAGATAGTTTGGGATTATCAAAATTTTGTTGGTTTATCCCTGGCATGTGTTGACATTCACTGAATCACGAATTTACAATAAAATTCGATTGAATATTATTATGTACATGTCGAATGAGGATACAAAATGTAGATATAAGTGAATTCCATGACGATTAAAATGTACGCTGTACTTTCGGGTACAGTACAGTATCTATATCACCTCTTTTACGCGAATGCAAACCATACCGCAAGCTGCAGGAGCCATACAACAACGTATACGTAATTATATATATATCGGTACCAGCTTTTTATCGTATCAGCGGTTTACTGAGCGTCTTCCCGTCGATAGTATCGACGTCGACCGGGCTGCATTGACAGGTAAGCTAGAGGAATGTTACTTCAATTACTCCTTGCACCAATTATTTTAACGTTAAGGTGATTCACAATACCCTAAGGGTGCATGCGTCTGGTAACATTTCAAGAATAATATTCCATTTTTTTGGTAAAATGGGATAAACGAAAAATGCCATTTTCAAAATGGAGGTAAAAGGTCCACTTTGTAATACTAGTACAGTATAGCGTTTTGGACCTGCTCAAGGCGTAAATCCCACACTCGGAATTATTGGATTTGGGTTAAAAGTCTTCAAGGAAGACATGTTTCACAGTCAATTTTGATCAGATTCGTTGAATTCGGCCCCAAAATGGTGTTTTGGGCCAGAATATTGTAAGTACCCGTCTGGTAACAAATGTTTTCTCAGAAATATATTGTAATAAAGTACTACCTCTGTCCTGAAATGTTGGCTACAATCAGATATTTTGAAAAATGAACGTGATACCGGTCGAGTTATCTGAAACGAATGTAAGACTTACCTAACGTTATGTGCAGAGGAGGTTTCAGAGCGAGCATACCAATCAAGATTCTTCGAGCCAAAACTGAACCAATCAAAGAGAGAAATCAGATCCCATACTTTGTCCTATTGTGTGATATTCGGCGCAAGCGTATCCGGATGACCGATTCCCGGATAGTACTTCGTTTTTCGAAACAAGTTTAGAATGTCAGTCCACGCCCCAAGAATTCGGACCGGACTGTGTTGCAGCACCTTCTCACACTGGGCAATGACCAACCAACCCCCCCG